TCGGTTTCAGCACTGCTGAATTGGCGATTGATATCATCCACATTGGCAGCTGGAAGATTCCCCTTCGCTTTGAGGCCGCAGAACTCAAACATCATTTTCCATGTATCCCGACAATTTCTGTTTGCCAGCAGTGCATGCACATAAGCGGCGTTTACTCTCCGCAGTTCAGCCTTGATTGCTTTCGAGTGGTCTCTCACCAAAGAATACGTTTTCGCCTTGAAAGCTTGTTCTTTCTTCCGATGCAATCGTTTTAGTGTGGGGCGAAAAACGGTCTGATCGTATGTATAAAGTTTCCCACGGACAGCACGTGTCATAACAGAACTTCAAGTATTCAGTCAGGGTATCACAAAATATAGAGGGGTAACTGTGTACAAATAAAGAGAAATCTGTCTGATCTAATATACCTTTTAATCTAGCAAGATTTTCGGGTTGGCATTGACGCCGACGAAGACGACGATCACGATGCCGAGTGTAAAACTGGTGGTTGGATCTACTGTAGATTGTGGGAGATAATTTTCAAATTGCTAAAGTTGTTAGATGGGAGATTGTGTGTCTGCAACCGTGGATCTCTCATAGCTTCTGAAGTATTGTTTATTGTAGTTAGATTCATCAATACACTTGCAGTCTGAACATACACACATAACCGTGCACGTTTTATGCTGCGTGCACTTGGATTTTTACGGGGTCTGTCCACGAATTCCATAAGGCGATTGATCATTTTTTCTATGGAATGATTATATTAATCAGAGAGGCAGTCAATCGATGCAATACTGATGGCCACATGAGGAATGTCTGTTCAAATTTGATCCATCCGTTGTTCCAAAGAGCAAGTTGGGTTCTCTGGAACAAGATCACAAAATGTTCAATGCATTGGGCGTTAAACGTTTTACCTCGAGATCTCTGTTTTTTTCTCACAACCAACCCCTCTCGTTTCTCACTTCCTTTGTTTTCAATTCGAATACTATCTAACGGCCAACCTGGATCCGTTGTGTCATCTAGGTATCTCATATGTGCTGCACCAACGAATCATTTTTGATCTCTCTGTCAGTTTTTCTTCCGGGGCACCACGATCATGCTGATTTCTGCTGATGCATTTGATTTCAAGGCTGGCGATGGAATAAAGCGACAACGGCTGACATGATTCTAGGTCACATCGGTTCGGCAGGCAAAGACGGTGTTGTGATCAGTTGCCATGTGGAATTTACAGTGATGGATCGTCAATACGCGCCATACGTTAGATGAGTGAGAACCCAGTCATAGGGATAATGCATGCGGTTAGGGAAATACCGCAAAATCCCAGTTTGTTGCCATGATTTTGTCTTGGAGTAACTCTCTGAATGCATTAGTTTGAACATAATCGTAGCAATCCCCTATGTATACCTTTTGATAGTGAATTAAATCCCTTCTTTGGGAGTCGGCATTTGCAGTCACTGATTGACTATTGACTTGCGGGTGTTAAATCTTCTGACTATTTCGTTATACCAAATAGATGCGTCTGATTCACCTGACGGAAGCTCTCGTTGTTCAAACTTAGTTACCATGCCGCTTTAAGTTGTCGCTTTTACTCCAGAGACGGTTTAAACCGCGGTCATTACAGAGTGGCCAATGGTTATTTCACATCGGCATTTGAAGAATAATTCAATTCAATTTGTTTCCATTCTTTCCCATCGGAAGACCAATCCAAATATCCCTTGATGGCTTGTTGTATCACTTTTCTTCTTTGGCTCGCGAAAGACTAAGTGGCGACAAAGAATACCGTTCCTTTGCGGATTTCAACAGTCAGCTCTGCAAGTTGAATGTCAGTTTTTACCTCTTGATTTTATTTTTGGTTTGTTGGTTATACTGTTCCAGATATCGCTATCAAAACTGTTTTTTCATGCCTCTTCAGCTTTATCAAAACTATCTAACCGAGGTTGAAAATTTGATACTGAGTATAGAAGAAGCTGTGCGATCCAATCCTGTCCTCGATGAGGCTATGCGCAATTTTGAGGCACAAAAGGTTTGCTATTTGCCATTCTACGTGTTTTTGTTGAAACCGATGCACCGGTTGCTCCAGTACCGCGTCACTTTGGAAAGACTAATGCGGCATTACGGCGAGGCACACCCAGACGCACCAGATTGTCGAAGTGAGTTTACACTCTTACACACCGACCCGTAAGGACGATGATTTCGTCTTTGATATTAAAGTTTGATCCTAACGTTTCAAGAATAATAATAGCTTAGAATTTCAACTCGATCAGTGCATTTTTTTACACGATTTCTTCGGGAATCATAATTTAAGTTCAAATTAATGAATTAATCTAACGATAGCCAATGGGAGTGACTGGCGAGGCTCTTCTGAATCGATGGGGAACACCAGAACGACGAGATCTCCTTGCAGATGACCTTACTCATAATTTTGGAGAGAAATCGTCCATTAAAAACTAATCCCACAGTATTCAAATACGTAAGCCGAGAGGTTTACAAAGCGAATTTTTCGGAGCGGGGTGCTTCGGACACCTCGCCTTACTGCTGCAAACAAAATAACTTAGAAGGTTTCATAAATATTTTTTGGTCATTAGTATTCTGGCAACAAGCATGAAGCCTTTATGGAAATGAGCTGTTCCGAGAATGTCTCACATCACATCAATTCATGATAATGGTGAATGCACAAACTTAAGCAGCGATGAAAAGTACATGCAGTGGAATTAAGGAATGTCAGAATTAAGGTTGCACATATTTTTGAATCATCGATAAAACAGAATGATACGCACACGAAAAGAGCTGACTTCATTGTGGATATCTCTTTCATCTTCTTAGCTTAGATTATCGTTATACACATATTTCTATTTTTGGCTACGGCGTTGGTTTATTCGGGAAATGAAATTACTCGAGCGTTCCGTCTCATATGTGTAGTTTTCCATCTTCAGAAGTGTTGGTCACTTAGATGCCTGTTTAATCGTCATCCATGACATTATCGTACAAGCTTCGATCGGTCATCAACCAGAGGGAAGCTCACTGGCGTGATCTGTGTTTGAGTGAGCACAGGTGGTGGCGCAAGGAACCAAGTAGTTACGGAACTCTGTCCGATTTGTGGCTGGTTCCAGAAATTACGATGACGGATTGGTTGTAAGCCCAGCTGCTATTATCAAAAAACTGATTTAGCCGCAAGTTCAAACGGTCTACTCGGGTGACCTGATCGATTAGAGATTTGATTGTTTTAACCGCATAGCTTTTATCATCTCTACCGAGTTTAGGGGACATTGGAAGTCGGGTAGGCTGATTATATCAGTTAATCATGATTCCTCCAGTGCACGGGTAGATAGATATCATGAGAAATTGCGTACAGGTATGCATGAGGACGGTAAGAGGAACATTCAAGCACAAATTTGGTTAATAATTCAGCAATGGATATGAAACGATCACTGATTATTTCACTGGACCAACCCCAACGTCCGATTCGCGAACCAAAGTCATAGTAGTGCGGATTTAATACAATTCGACAACTCTACAACTTAACTGTCGTGCAAAGATCTGCCAAGTCACATCAAAACTGGACCCCACGAAAGCTTCGATACACATTGGAGATAGATGCTGAAAATGCTTTTTTTCGAGGATAAGTATTCCGACTTCTAGACACAGATCGGATACTGACACGGTTTCTGTAAAGCGGTAAACAGACACTGAGATTGTCATACTCAATCGGCTTGTTGACTTCACTGTATTCTGAGCTTTTTATGGTATCAAATTGTTTTTACATTTCAGTGCGACTGTGAAATAGTGAGCAGATTTTCTCTTTTCCTGAATTCAAATCAATCGTACGTCAAATCACTATAGTGACTTTGCAGAACTTGTAATATGCGTGGAAACCGAAAGTGCAATCAAATGTAGACCCAAATAGATAAATAGAGCGCTACTCAGTGTTTCATTACAATCTCTGTTACCTTACTGCGAATATTTGGTTTGCATTTAGATGTACCGGTTCGAATGAAGTGCGACTACCACAGTTATAAGTGTTTAGTGCTTTCCACAGATGCCAAGTGAAACTTCTGTTAATCATTAAGACATTACTATTGATGAGAGAAAACAGAAAGGATTTTCGAATTCCGCAAAAAGTAAATTAGTTTTCCTCTTCACTGGAATTTTGTTTAGGACCAATGTAAATATAAAGAGAACTAGTGAGTACTTTTTCACCCCACATACCTCGCTTTTCTAATCTAACTGTTCGGGATATGGCTAGCTGATCGTTAACGTTTACGATTCATTTTTGGTGCGTATGACAACAAGGCAGTTTGATCACTTCATGTCAGAATGAAATTTTTGACAGGAATCTCCACACAACGGATATCTATGTAGTGTATGTTACGGACCTTCACAAGACTGTTTTGGTGCACGGGGGAGGCTGGAAGACAGGGACTACCGAAGTTATTACCAGCTCAAAGCATACTCCACGCAGTCATTTGCATTGTGACCTGGAGATTGTTGTTCAGTCAATGCAGTGGTCACAACGTAAAAAAGAATTCTTCTCAGCCATGGCAACTCCAGTGCAACCCGGCTCACCGGCCTCGCTGTAGTCTCACGCCTTCTGCCCTAGTGACAACGCAAATCACATGCGTACAAGGGTATTTCTAGCCTTTAGGTCACGAGGTTCGGGGTTGTTTGAGCCTAGAGGTAATGGGTACATAAGTGTCCACAATACCAATGCATGGTCAAATGGTGGACCACTAAGCTGCACCTGAGAAAACTGTCAAATGTGTTTGTTGGTGTGTACGTGCGTGCGTGCTTGCTCTCACGTGATCATTAAAAGGACATGGACCAGGTCCCATTCTGTTCGCATCACAAATCGTTTATGAACCCAGTACCCCGGAGAAGTGTTGACATATTTACTGCCCCACGCCGAACTCAAAGAAGATTTGTGAATAAAGCTCCAAACCCAAACAGTATTTCATGAGTTTGGTAACGAGGATTTAAAAACAATGTCGAACCACTGGAATCTGAAAGAAGCTTTGCGATAAACCATTGGATAGAACACTCTAGCGGAAAAGACTTGTTTTCAGTGATTCGTCTTCTTTGGCTAATACATCACAGTTTGTAACTCGGTTAAAATACAGGAGGGCGGAGATATGACAATAATAAATTAATAAACTTGAAGGAAGATAGATAATGTCTACCGTTTCTGGTGTGGTGTGTAGTCCGAATTTATCGAAGATTGGGAGGGGTGGGTGAAAATGGGGTGGGCGGAGGGCCATGGGATACGCAGTGTCTTCTCAAGTTGTTTTTGCGTAGACAAGGGTGAATTGTGAATGCGAATTCCCGCTGCTTCCGCTGTGGTCAGGATGCGATGTTCAATCCGCTTAGATTATTGTTCACAAACCTGGTATGGGGACGAAACGCACTGGTCAAGTCTACCAAATGATCTGACGTGAACAGATTGCTCTTGTAATGGATTTTGTCATCCCAGTGTGCAACCAAGCCGGATGATGCTCACGAACTCTCTGAGTCAAGCGTCTGTTCTTTGGACTGGTGTGCGTTGTTCCACAGGAACAAGTGGTGTTAAAATCCTACATTTTTTTGGCTTTGTCTTCCGTTCACACTTAGCTGCTCGTTCTCGTCATGCGAACAATACAGCTCTTGTGTATTTAAATCCAAGACGGTCGGCATCCAACTGGTCATCTTTTTTCCTAAATGACCAACATTTGTGGAACCTTGACTACTCCTCACCTGCATTATCAGAATCCATCATTAATACTATAATGAAAGAATCTCCAAGAGACCCCGTGGACAGTTGCACGTTCAGTGTCTGTTTTCTCCTTGTTCAAAAGAAACCACAGGGAAAGTGAATGAACATGGTTCTGTTTCATGATTAACTATGTACAATTCATCATGGTAATCGTCAACACCATGACCAAAATTATGAGCTCCGGATCTTTCTTGATGTCAATCTGATGCGTATAGCTGGTTATGATATATCGCAACTTCAGTACTGCTTTACGCTAGAACAACCGGAATATTCGTCTTTCGTTAGGACTTAGAAATTCATAAAATAGTCTCAGTGGTTGCTAGTTGAATGCTCTTCTATGATAGTCAAAATAAATTTGTTTTTAATCATTTGAATCGTCTAAACTTCCCGTGAGTCAGACGCATTCTCTGTTTGAAGAAATCTTACTAAATTTATTGTTTCGTTTACTTTCGTCTTTCCCGTTTTCAGTAGCCCATGCACGCCTACTTGACCTGATTCAGTCACAGTGGGAATCGTACAAACGAGTGGAAAACATTTACAAACTGTTAGAGATTCAACGTGATTTGGTCGGTTTGAGTTCATTCCCCCAAAACTCTGATTCAACTGGTACAACGCCCAATGGTGACTGTTCTACCTCATCATCTCCTTGGGGTCCGTTGTTACGATTAGGACGACAGTTTATTCGTGAAGGTTGGCTTCAAAAGCTTTCCAAAAAAGGCTATCAGCCTCGCATTTTCTTCCTTTTCTCTGATCAGCTGGTTTATGCCAGTCGCATGGCAACAGCATATCTTCAATTCAAGGTAAGTGTGGCTCTCAGTGTTCTATGATTTTGTGGTTTTACTACTACCATTGAACATATCTACGAAGAGAAGTGACGAACACTATTTCAATTTAATGCAAGAACACCTTTTCCATCCTTTGCTCATTAGAATATAGGAGCATTACTCATTCCAGGAACGTAAATCTCGTGTAGCATATTGTGCACACCACCAACGTAATCAGGCCAACTTTTTCATAGCTGATCGACAACAGAGGCAAATGAATTCAAATTAATGTTTTGCCTTCGACTGTTTGTTAATGCAGATCCGACGAAAAGCGTGGTTGTATAGTGATGTCTGTGCTTATGTTTGTTTTGGAAGTATTTAGGTGCAGCTCAGTTCGGTGCACAGGAATTTGACAGTAGCTTGCCAGGTCGTCTAGTTTCTTGCATTGCTGAGCTCCAAATATCCCCCGGTGCTGCGACAATAAGATTAAACCGTTCGTCTCCAATGGAATACACGTTGTGTGGTGGCTAGAATGGTGCCCCCTAGCCACAATGTCTCACTCCGAGGATGTTTCTGTAGGAACAGTGTTACTCCATGGCCCCTACAGTGGGAGAATCACCTAAAAGCTATGAAACCGTTAAAGGTGAAGAATAGCCTAGAGAGATCAGTCAAAAGTTGAGAGTAGAAACGAAGAGAGGAAGTGCAACAGGTTCAGTTCAGTTCAGTTTTTACAACCATTACCCATGCACTTTCGTGTGCCGGTTTTGGTTGCTGTCTTTTGGTACCCCATTGGGATAAAGCAGCAGGATGAAGATTGGAATGTTGAAAGTGCTACAAGAGGATAAGAGGGATGGTGAAAGGCTTCAGTAGCTTGGCCCGTTAATTTCCTTCAAGCCATCCCATGTCTTCCAAACGGTGTTTGAAGTCATCAACCGAAGTGGTAGCGATCGCCTCATTGAACAAATTATTTCAGTCTTTTAGAACCGGGATGGATGTCACCCGCAGTAATCCCAAGTACATGAAACTTGAACCAGTTGAATTTCTTTTATATCTATATTCAATCTATTTCACGATAATAATTTGCGTATGAATTTTTCCTTGGAAAGATTCCCCCAAATTTTATGTTCAGTAATCATCGTGTGTTTTTGGACGCAACTTTCCGTCCGAGTGCTCGCGTGAGTTCAGGAATTCTCGTTTACTCCAACCCTCATCGAGAACGAATATCAAATCACGTGAGACAAACTGTCAAACACAATACTTACTTCTGTTGTTCTATTCGTCAAGCTGAGCGCTTCGTCTGAGGCGGGGACAGTTAGTCACTCCTGTTCTTCAACGTGACTAAACAGCCAAGATCATTGGGAACAAACTGATCCAATTATGAATCCTCTGTATCCAACTCAGTTTTCGAGAGTTGACATGTCCTAAATCAAGGGTTATTTGCTGTTATTTGCATCCGAAACTGGTGTGAAGACTCGTTCTCTGGGTTTCGGAAGACGTTAGCATTTCTTTGTTCCATCATTGGGTACCTGGTGTATTATACTTCATAAAGCATTCGTTGATTTTGAACTGTTGTTACTAAAATTCTTTAGAAATTCGAAGAGAGCAGTGTTTCTATACTTCTGTTCCCCTATTATGATGTACCTTTCGCTTGCTACTAATTCTCAGTCGTAGTGCGGGATAATTGATATGGATTTGAACTGATCATCCCTCAGGTTTCACCTTCACGCGGAATCCTCAGTTCATCCAGCCAACCATGAACATAACCATAACATTCAAATTTCCGTACGTTTTCATTTTAACACTTCATAGCTAGTCCAAGTAACACCGCCAATAACATTGTTTTCATCATCACACTCTAATTGTGGATCACATGTGGCTGTCGAATAACCACAGTGGCAAAATTTCGGTGATGGTTTCTAGGGTCACTTTCTGTCTTCTTTTTGATCATGGCTGATAGCATTCACTCTCCGTGGTATACCGAAATGAGGTGGAATGCCTAATTACGCCATGGGCCGTGTGATGAACATCTTATGAGGTAGCTTTGAAGAATGATAAGGATAAAACAGGTGAATAACTTCCATAAATCGACAGCCAACAGGTTCGTGTTTATTGTCAAATACAGGCGAAACATCAGTACACAAAATTAATGTTTTTCTTCAATAAATGGCTTCATGCTTTCACACATACAGTCATATTATTCGGTAGATCATTAAATGACCTAAGCTGGTGTTGGAGCAATGTACCAGTGCAAAATATTCCGTTAACAACACGTCACAAGGTTATATGAAATTCACAAGTAAAATCAGAATGAAAATTACGGGAATTCTATACAATAAGAAATGTGATAGCCAAAGATGAATGAAACTAGTTTGAAAGTGTGAACAGAAAGTCAGTAAATGACCCGAATAGAAAACGGATGGAATATTTACAAAGAAGTATAGGCCAATCACTTTTATGTCCGTATCAACAGCAGCGCTTGAACCATGTTACTTGCCTCGCACAACTCCGGATTCGTAATCTGAACAGCTATGGCTTCGCAGATGATAGAACCTCATTTCCTATTTTTCAGTGTGGTTCTGGGTTGCTGTGAAGAAACTTTCGAGCGCATTCTCTGGGTCAGTTCTACGTTCGCTGTCGACCAGGCGTTGTAGAATTCAGCTGTTCGATTTGCTCATCGTTCCTTGTCGAAGAGTAGCCGGATAATATTCAGTTATTCCCTGATGCAGACGGATCGTTTTGTGTTCGATATAACGAGCACTACAAGTGTACATAAACTGTTACTGAACAAGAGGTCGGAACCGATTAAGGAACGTATCCTTATGCTACTGAATAGTGAGTGACTTGGTCTTTGATGTAACTTTCAACTGCGCTGCGAAAAATAGCTTCCATAGGGGTATTGATAGTCTGTCTGGTAATATTTCTAGTAAATCATTGCCTTTGAACGTAACATTCATAAACACCTCCTTTCCAGCCGTGTTGTTTTACGTCGTTTGGTTTCGATTCCAAATATCGTCGGGTAAATGCTTCTGGCTGTTCGTCTCTCCTGATGATGTCTCTTGTATGGGTCATCACTTCATCCAAGGTCTCCCGGCCACAAATTCAGTAAATTTCGTTTATGTATTATTGAGACGAAACAGAATGTGTGCTGTCCTTCTCCCTTGCGTCTCTCCTCACGGTATGGCCATCCTCGGTTTATTCAAATGAAATGTTTCCGCGTGTATGATCGGCCAATTGGAAAATACCTTTTCCACTATATGCGACCTAAGGTTGTCAACAACTTCTAGAGTTTTACCGTCCATTGTGCTATGGCGTGATAGGCTGAAGAACGCATATCAGTCGATCACTGGTCTTAGGGTCACCTTTGGTTTGTATATCTTCGGCAGTCCATAGAGTCAATGGATGAGATCCACATGGTACGACTTTGTTCAAGATGGCTTTGGAGATATAATTCTCTGACTTTATTATCTCTGTCAGTTTTTGTTTCGGATTATTGCGTCATATCCTTCGCTTTGTATGGCAAATCCATTTTGTCGTCATCGTTAGGAATAGCACTCAATTTATCATCATACTCACCGGTCTAGTGCCACAGATCCCGCTACTTTATCCGGTTTTAATGGAATAAAATTATGATATTTGGTCAGTTTTCTAACGACATTTTGAGACTGTTTCGTCAACACGCCTTCTCTGCTGCACGGGAACGGTTCACATGTGAGAATCAGGCTTATATTTACCATGAGTGAGGTTTTTTCGACCACATTTTTACTGTCCACCAAGTTCAAGAACACAGACATTCCTTTCATAGATCCCAATTTTCATCTTTGATCTCTGTAAACTCTAACTCTACCTCTTTTTGAAAGGTGTATCTTACGATCTCTCTACATCAATAGCCGATACCGAATTTGAGCTAATGTTACAGAAAGCGGTGTTCGTCAATGCTGCTCTCCCTTTCTGTTCCACTTTTTAATGGATTTGTATCTTTGAATATACAACATAACTCTCATTTAGAAAATACATCTCATTGACCAATATCATACATGTGTATCGATAGCTGTAAGTGAAAAGTATTTATTTTGAACTTCACCTCCCACTGCAATGCTCTTAGTGTTCGTGTCTCCCAGTTTGAATTAACGTGACCTTGGGTGTCACAATAAAATTTGTAGTTGATAATTCAGTAATATTTTACATAAATGAGCATGAAAGTTCATTCTTTCTAATAAATGTTTGCTCTTTTATCAGGGTGTTTATTATGGTCAATACACGTAATCTAAAAGGTCTATCTTTTTTCATTCGGTACACAGTCAATGAGCCGAATAATGAAGTACTTCTAGCTCGACTAAATTAATAACTTAGTGTCTACAAACTAATTACTTAACACCCCTCATCCTGAGGGAACTAAAAATATAGTCTAAGAAACATAAAAGTTGACCTTTAGGTGTGCGGCTTGTTGAATAAACGTCTTGTAGTGTCACTATACCAAAATCTTATGAAATATCCAAGAGTTTTTGGCATTTAGTTGAAGCTGAGAGGTAGCTCATTCGCGCACAAATCCGACTACTCAGTTCCTGACTTGTGTAAGTACATAATCAACAGAATTTCTCCATCAAGACATGGACAAATAGGGAGAAAACCGATCACATCACAGCTAGACGATGCTTGAATTCGATCACAGATGGGAAAAGTTGTATACAACTAATATAGAGGATAGTTCTGGCGGATAATCCGCAATTTCCCTATGCCACCGTTTGGAAAATGGTGGCTCAATTTGAAATTCAGCTGAAGCCAATTAATATGAATCTGTTATTGAAAGCCCAACAAAGGAGAACACGTATTAATTTTATCAACAAATTCAAATCGCGTTACCCGTCCATTTGGCATTGGGTTTATCTCATTGAAAGTTAACGAGCAATACAGTAGGCGGGGAAATCTGATCTATTGATCCAGTTTTACAAGGGATTTCGTTTGACCTATCAGAAGAAGTAAATATCCATCCAGCGTAATGCGTTAGAACGGAAGCAAATACCGAGCACATTGTCGCTGGTCTCCTATACGTGCCACTCAGGATATCTCGAAATTTGTTGTACAGTTTAGGCAGGTTTTCGACAACTGTCACTCTTGAAATACATTCAGTTTCAGTTTTTACAACCATTAACCATACACTTTCGTACACCGATTTTGGGTGCTGTCATTTGGTTATCCATTTTAATAAAGGAGCAGAATGAAGATCAGAATGTTGAGAGCAAATACAAGTGGAAGATAGTGAATTTATGTAGACCAATGTTGAAAGAATAATGAGTAGTTGCATAAGCGTCACTGTTTGCGACACCCAGCCATATCGTTCAGTGTCTCTATCGGTTACCATGATCTCGAGGTCCCCAGCCAGGTTGCCCAACGGGACCCAGTCTCCTGGGTCGCAGAAGTCTCATTTTTTCCAGATAAAGCTTAATATAGCATCTCAATGAGGTTGATCGTAGAATAAAGTGAGTTCTTATTAAATATTTTTTCGCATTTATGCAGTTTCTGGATGGGTCAAGTCCAGTGTCGAACTCATTCAATTACCTCCCAGCAGTTGGGATTTGAGTGTAATTGAAAACTTTTCCTTGCGTTAGAAAAACAAGGATAAATTAGCTACTTCGACAGTAGTAATCCGTGACCAGGCTAAAGCATACATCAGAGGAAACTGACAATGGCATTTTTACAGTCAACTTGGTGGAATTCGTGCAAAAACGACAAGCTCCAGTGCTCAAAAATGAAGAAGGATAAATTGAACATTGACAAAATGAAAGAAGAATACCTGCATCATGTTTATGAGTCACTTTTATAAATAAATTTTGATGAGGTTTTTTGCTGAGTTCTTTCTATTTCACAACTGATGCACCGGAAACCATCGTCGAAATCGTACATTTTAACGGCATCCGACCAATAGAAGCAACAAAAAACAGATATGTTGCGTCTGATGTGGGGCAATATCATATTCAATCGCGTGAATGAGGCTGGAAAAACTGCGCGTTAAAAGGAACCAATATGTTGAACGATTGAGTGTTGCATGAGTTTGATCAATAACTGTATATATGTAGTACTGGAAATTCTGATTCCTGTTTGTTTTATTCAAATCATATCAATTCTTTCTAAATGATATCATTAAGTAGCTGATCCTTCTTAACTTGACAAAAGAAAATTTTAAATCTCAATGTTAGAGCATTAATTTGCTTAAATTTAACTTGTATACCATATTTTCTCCCGAATTCCATTCAAAAAGAATTATGCTCTTGAAAAATGCTACATTACTCAATCATGATGCCTTTACGGTTGACTTATATTACACCCAATCTACGAGAACTGCTTATCACTTTTGGTGCTATCACACACACATGCACTACTATTTGACTTTGTGTCTCGGATCCTTACTTATTTCTTCTCTAACGTATCCACAACCCACGGAATTGGTCGCTTCCATATCCGGAAAACGGAACTCGGCAATTATGCGAAACTTGTACAGCGTTTTTCCGCATTCGCCATTTACACTGTACAACACCCACTCACGAAATTGCAATTGTTCGTTGCATGCCACAGACGCATGAGCATGGATAGCGTGATACACTGAAACTGGTGTTTGGTGCGCGGAATGTATGTACTTTCACTACTTTCACCCTCTGCAATGTTCTGAACTGCCGGACCGAAGATATTATCCCGGAGGTCCAATAGCACACGTCGATTAGTGGGGCTTGTACAAATTTGCGAATGGTTTGATGGCAACTTGCTGCACTAAAATGTGAACAAAACGTTTTCTCAATCAATGGGAAATCGTGCTCCGTCCTGTTTTGATTTATAGTGTTCAGCGTTCAAGCAGTACATCTTGTTTTTTGCTCACGTTTTCCGCCCTATCTTTTCGTGGAGAACACCACTATCAGAGTCTGGAAATTCTCAGTCCTTCAACTCTAAGTTTTCTCTTTAACTGAATCGATTCACATTTACCCATTTACTTTGTTTTTTTGGTTCGCGAAAGGTTCATGGACAGTTCCAGTTGCACGATCTGATGGTCGAGGAAGCCGAACCTGCTCACAGTTTCACTGTGTTTTCCGGAAACCGATGCTTTTTGGTCGCGGCCCCTTCGGATTGGCAAAGGGATCGCTGGTTGGAAGATATTTCTCGTGCCATACTGGCTGCGAAAACGAAACCCTCACCAGGCATGGAAACGGGTGTATCTATCAGTATGGTGGATTCAAAACTCAGCATAATGGATTCAAATGAAGGTATTGTTTCAAAGTCACTATCGCACTTCTTTTTGTTTTTGTTTTCATCTCGGTTTACTTTTCATATATTTTTCGTTTGAATTTAAGCTGCTTCTGTAGTGTTAACGGCGTGATATATATATATATATATATATATATATATACAAAAGTCACGATTACTTTTTTCTCGCGATACCTGAGTCATTAAGGCGAAGATAATATCTTCAATGATTCCCCCCCTCCCCCTATGAGTCCAGTTTATTCCTCTCAATGTTCCATGAACCTCGACATGCCAATATTCAATTGTTGCTTGTTCACTGGAATGGGCAATCAATGAGAGAATGAAAATCCTTCCTCTCACTGTTACACTGTTAACAAAGCATATCCTCTCTATCACATCTGAGTAGACTGGTTTTCAAGGTGAGCTGAACAAAATAGGATACTTCAAATTACACCAAGCTATAAGTCTGCGAATTCTCCAGTTTCGTCAGATGAAATTCTCTCTTTGAAATAAGTGATGCGCGTGTGGAAATGCATTGGTTTCGACCAAATAGAAGTGAGCGTGTTGGGTTTGACCATATGCTGTCGAAGATGTTCCCGACCTAAGTGACCTATAAAACTGTCACATCGCCGGACCACACCAAACTGAAGACCGTCACTGTCCTGGACGCTCTCAGATATCCTGCTCGTATTTGACACGGTGGTCAGTCTGCTTGAACAGTTTCCGTTCGCGGGAGCTCGCATCACCGAGATCACTACTCACCTGTTTGGACGCGATGATGCCAAAATGCAAGCCCAATTCTTCCATGCTGCCTCCAGATATGTCTTTTCGGCGACATTTAGATGCCCAAAGGCAGCGAGCTTGGATCTATACAGAGTCTGGATGTTACGCCCTGTTGTCACAGACAAATCTGAAATTTCTTGATCCACCTGTGCCCTTAATTTTTTCTCTTCATTTCATCCTTCGTATTTTGCTCGCCTTCCAATTTTAACTTCCCCCTACTAATCTGATTTCTATCGATCTTTGCTTCAACAACTTATGGTACTGCGCTTAATCCGGTAAGTAAAGTGAGAATAATAACCACATACTACCACCGGCTTCCAGCTAACCAAAACACTACTAAAACCGTCAATGTCTTCGTTATTGTCGTCTATTTAGGCTGCCTAAGAAATTGTGTGAATTCACTGATCACTAACGGAAAGAGTATTGCAAGTGATCATGTAATCGCATTGTATTGACTTGCTGAGATCACTGATGCACTTCACCCCGGTTCAATAAGCCAGGTTGAAGGTTGAGGGGCTTGGACGCAAACGTTTCTGTTAATAGTTTATTACCAGTGGTTGCGGCCTTTGTTCTAGACGGCTTGCACATAATTGTTGGTGATTTTACTCACGCTCCCTTGCATTATTTATTCCGCCTCACCCTCAGCGACTTTACCGAAGCACTCATCGTTGGGTTCTCCCTTTTAGATCATACGTACTATCGCTAACCATCTCGATACATTTTCGTCCAAACAATTCTGTCTCTTCATCAATTGGACTTTGTCAGATCTAAGATTTACTCACATTCAGGACAGTATTTTCACACTGGTATTAAATATGTCGCGCTTTGTCATCGTAACCTTTCCCTTCACAATCTTGCTCTGTCAATGGAGCCACGTGCGGTTTGCCACCGATTGTCTCTTGCTCGACTACTCTCGTTTGCCTAGTGTGACATTGCTTACTGATGTCTTCGCCCACTTTTTCCACAATACTCTGCGATATCAACCCTTTCCTTCCGTCATGATATTTATCTTGTCTTTCAAATAGCATGATTGTCGAAATTAAGTAACCCCTAAAAACTGAAATAATTGTAGCAGTCTTTCGTTTGTGAACGCTTTACTTCATACCGTTGTGGGACCGACTGAGATAATTCCAACAGTAATGCTAAATTGATCTTGTCTGAGGTTTTCATCCACTGCCTATCTTGAAGAAGAAACATGGCTGTATCGCGATCAACGAGCTTTCTGTACTTTTCTCTTCTCTTCCCAGTTAATTCATACGCTGTATTGTTTTGATGTTCTTTTATTGTATTTGCAACTGAAGCTTCTGAAACAGATTATGTGAACTATACTTTGAATCCGGTACTATTACGTCTCAGTAACGTAAGAAAATACAAATGTGTACGTTTAATGTCACATAATAATGAATACCGTTTAAATGACTGTTTTTTTTATCGTTCTCTTTTTGCCACAGCCGCCGATTCGTCAACGATTCTTCAACGCGTTACCACCACTAGTGTACACGTCTGCTGGCATCGCAGTTTCACTTATTCCATGCAAGATATTCTACGTGCGAATGAGGTGAGTTACTATTTTGAAGCCAAATGATATTCTGCTATTACTACTGTTAGAGCTATACAATACGTATGTTTTGTTCCAGATAATGTATACTCCATATCCTTATTTACCTCCAGCTATTGCTAGCATCCAAGCTCATTTAGTCCGTGTAAGACACAGGATTTAATAACGCCCATACATGCATATTATTCGTCTCTGTCCACCATGAAACAAACTGACTCACAGACCTTAGAATTTTCTCAAGGGACTTGTTCCTTTGTTCCTCCTCTTCTGGATATTTTGAAAAACATCGAACCATTTGAATAACACCCTTTTAGTTGCTGCATAACCATCCATAGTTAATGCTTTATAGTTAACGTATTGCTAAACGCAATCACATCCTTGAAGAACTGATTGTTCATCTATGGTAAATTACAAGTGTGGAACAGGAAGCTCATCATTT